GTGTGTGTGTGTGTGTGTGTGTGTGTGTGTGTGTGGTGGGGGGTGTTAGCCGGCTCCTGATTGGCCGGTTCCCACTGCCTCCCCGCGTCTCCGTCTCCGATAACCAGAAAAAAACGAAGTCCAGAAAAAAGACGAACGGCCAAAATGCCTTAAAAAAGAAAAAGGTCTGGAATCAGCCGGGGTCAAAGGTCACGGCTCCATAACTCAGGGGTTTCTGACTAAAATCGGTTTGTTTCTTGGTGTTTTTCCTCGTAGAAGTCAAAGCTCCTTCTCTCCTTTTCACTCCAGTTTTTGTAGAAAAATTTCAAATTGAGACGTTAAAATGTAATTAATGAGGGGAAAATCATGCTCATAATGAATAAAACATTCAAAAGTGAGATGAAATTAAACACAAATCTGAAGCTAAAGCCCCAAATCAGCCCTAAAAAAGAGGAAATCGTGACTGAAACATGAATAAAGTTCAGCTTTAAAGTCAAACTTGAGATAAAAAGTTCCAGGAATGTGTTTTTTCTTAGTTCAGCCTCTTAAATCTGAGTTTTTGTTTGGATGTTTTCTGCTTTTTCTCTCATTTTTAATCCAGTTTTTGTAGCTGAAAACGTTAAGATTTAATTAATGAGGGAAAATCATCCTCATAATGAGTAAAACATTCAAAAGTGAGATGAAATTAAACACAAATCTGAAGCTAAAGCCCCAAATCAGCCCTAAAAAAGAGGAAATGTGGACTGAAACATGAATAACGCGTCTCCGTCTCCGATAACCAGAAAAAAAACGAAGTTCAGAAAAAAGACGAACGGCTGAAATGCCTTAAAAGAGAAAAAGGTCTGGAATCAGCCGGGGTCAAAGGTCACGGCTCCATTACTCAAATCGGCTCGTTTCTTGGTGTTTTTCAGAATCAGAATCAGAATCAGAAATACTTTAATAATCCCAGAGGGAAATTATTTTAGTTACAGGCTCCATAAGCAAAACAAAGGCATATACATATGTACATGTCTATACATATATACATATATATATACAAAATATACAAAATACAAAATATTTCCTCGTAGAAGTCAAAGCTCCCTCGGTTAGGAGGTGAATCTGGAGGATGGTTTTGAGTTTTTCTGGCTTTAAATCCCTAAACAGCTCCTCTCTCAGCTCTTATCTCTGAGTTTTTTTCTCAGATAATCTCTTTTTACTCCAAATGTTCGAGTCATCGGCCTCTCTTCTCTCCTCCTTTTGAACTCTGGGGAGTTCCTCAGCAGCAGTTCTGCAGCTTTCAGGGTTTTTGTTTGGATATTTTCTGCTTTTTCTTGCATTTTTAGTCCAGTTTTTGTAGCTGAAAACGTTAAAAAAGAGGGAAATCCATCCTCATAATGAGTAAAAGCATCAAA